AGGTGCGAAAGGTGGTCGCCCTCTGACCCGTCCGAGGGAGAGAATATACGGTTTAAGAGATCGATGCACCGTGTTCTACCTCTCGCGACCTCACATCCACCTAGAACCGAAGGGTTCACCGGGGGTTGCTGCCCTCGTCCGGGCAACGCGCGCGCGATCGCGTAACTTGGATTTTCGACTTTTCGGAGGAGTCCATTTGAGTTTAAACCATCGGCACAGATTATCACAACTACCCACGAGCCCCCCACCCCACCCCACCCCCCCTCGCAGAAGAACCTAATCCAAATTACCATTATTTTACATTTGCATCGTTATTATTATACCGATTTAATCATACGATCGACTTAACGATGAATCTTCTTAGATTTTAATCGTAATAATAACCTGAATTAACAATATCATGTTAAAATCATGATCCAAATCGTATAAGGAAACGTAATGTAAGATCTAATCGTACTGAAAAATAATTAGAAAGGGATGTCGTCAGTTAATCGAATAAATATGAGAGAAATAAAAATATTTGAATCGTCAATCTAAAATTCCTGAATGAATAGTTTTAAAAATTGTTTAGTGTTGGGAATAAAAGGTACTTTGGTTCATTGACTTGCTGGGAAGCGCGAAGATGCAACGGTACATCGTTCTCTCATACTTTGTCGTCATCGTCATCGTTGTCGTAGGTTGGCTAGGTCGCGTTGAACACGGTTGCTGGTGACGTCACCAAATAGTCAAGAGTCATACTAACTTTAAACTGATCAGAAACGAATGCATATTATATATACGGGCGTGTACTGCATGTTTTTGGTATATCATTTTCATCGTTGTTGTTGTTGTTGTTGTTGTTGTTGTTGTTGTTGGTTGGTGGTGCTTACTGCTGATGTTTGCGAGCTTAAAAGCTTGCAGCAGCAGCAGCAAAAGGAGAAGAAGAAGAAGAAAAGCGCTTGCGCTTCTTACGAGTTCAACACAACTACCACGACGACGACGACGACAACGTCTACGCGCCGATAGTTACGTAAGCGCGAGGTCATTGACCGATAGCTTTGCCGGGAAATCCACCCGCCATGACCTACCTTCTTCCTCTTCGTCATCATGCTAACTCATCATCTTTCTTTCTTTCTTTCTTTCTTTCACTTATTCCCATTAAATCTTGATGGATTTAGATTAGAAAAAGAAAAGTAAATCAGGACATTATAATTAATTACCGAATATAAATAACTTTTTATAACAATGACACAACACACTATATATATGAGAAATTTTCAATTGGTCAGGTGTGTTTATAGATAGATCCAACATTACTAAATCCTAGAATTCTATAACAAATTCAAAATCTTAAGATATATTCGTTGAGTTGAAATAATTCATTGGAAATAAAATTAATGTTATAATCAGGTGGGTGGGTTGGTTATTTTGGATAAATACTTTTCTATATTCGTATAGGACAATACTTTGATCAGAATCGGTATGGAATCGTCTGAGTTATTAAGAGGGCTCGAGAGGGTTGTTGCTGCGAGTAGTAGCGCGAGAGCATAGCTAGCGAGAGAACGAGGAGAGAGGTGGTGGTGGTGATGGAGGGTGGTTGGGGGAGGAGGTGGAGGTGGAGGTGGAGGTGGGGAAAGAACCCGTTAGTAGAGCGTTTGGAAGGCGCGCGCAAACCTCTCCGTGCTCGTTGCTGCGAGAAAAGGAAGACAAATATCGTAGATCGCGAATATGTGTGTGTGAAAGCGAGAAAGAGAGAAACGAACGAGTAAAGCGAACGAACGAACGAACGAACGAACGAACGAGCAAGCAAGCGAACGAACGAACGAACGAGCGAGCAAGCAAGCAAAGGGGGACTCTCACTTTCACGCGGTGAACTGCGGGTGAACGTCCGGGAATTGGGTCAGAGGACCCCCACCCCGTCGCGCCAGAGGCAATGTGCCGAGGCTCTATGCTCTCTGTGCTAGAAAGAGCCAGTCTACAGCCAAGCCTCGATACAAACGGTCGCTGCTTCTTTTTCTTCCGCCGAAAATATCATTCCTATATCGGGTATTCATTATTTCGGTGAACACGTTACGCGAAATATATTAATATTAATATATCTAATGAAGAAATCGTGAAAAACAGAGAGAGAAAGAGAGAGAAAGAAAGAGAGAGAGAGATAGAGAAAGACAATTTCAATTTTGCTATACTCTCGATGTGTTCCAACAACGCATTCGGAATTTTGTATTTAGTGTGATGATATTATTCATCATCGTGAGCTTGAGTACAATAATACAAAGCACAAATCCAAAAAGAAAAACTGATTAAAAAGATTTTTGATAATCTCGAATTGTTTCGCGTTGTTAGCGTTCGAAAACGCTCGCGAACAACTTCAAATACACCCCCCTCCCTCCCTCCCTCCCTCCCTTCTGTATCAACGGGTTTATCTTTAGCAGAAGAGTAGATTCGTTAATTTTGGGGTGAATTAATGGGGTGCCTGTGCGAGTGCGATCTGGCCACCCCGCGCTCGGGGACCGATTGTTCCTCGGGGTCCTCCTCGGACAGCGACGGTCAAACTGACGAAGGTTTCGTTGGTGATTCGCAGGGCTTCTTTCGCCGTAGCATCCAGCAGAAGATTCAGTATCGACCCTGTACCAAGAATCAACAGTGCAGCATCCTGAGGATCAACAGGAATCGCTGCCAATATTGTCGTTTGAAGAAGTGCATCGCTGTCGGCATGAGTCGCGATGGTAAGTAATCGTTATTTTCTTTCATTTATTTCTTCTTCTTCTTTCTAAAAAAAAATTCTGTTCCAATGCGATCGATACAAAAAAAGAAAGAAAAAAAAAAAACAAGTTGCAAATATATAATATCCCAATAATATAAACGTAATTGAAATTTTGTCTTCGGTGAAATAAACTTGTCATTCCGTTCGGTTAAACGCGTAGAAAAGAATTTTTTTATTGCGAAAATGATTGAAGTAGGAGAATAATTTCGCGATAGATTTCGTTTCTCGAACGTAGGAGCAGCTCTCCTACCTTTTAAAATTTAGATTGCCAGGTCATTGACCGTTTGCGTAACGCTGTTCCCCGTCATACGGCGCAGGGGTGTCGCAACGGGCGAAAGTGGCCGCTGCTGCTGCTTCGCTGTTCGAGAAAGCAGCGCCAGCACGATTATCCCCGCGATTGGTGTAACGAGTTCGCTTTCTTTTTGAAATACTTGTGAAAGCTTCGTCGGGTCCGCGCCTTCTTTTATTTTTTTCGATTCTCATCTCTTCTTCGTTTTATCTCTTTTTTTTTTTTATTATTATTATTATTATTATTATTATTCCCTTTCTTTCATCCTTATTAAACAATCGATAGTTGTTGAAGAAGACATTTACTATTACTGCTAGATAGCTTAGAGGAGGAGCAGCGATACTACACAAGGAGTACGAGGTCGTTGACCCTTAGTTCAGATTCGAGCCAATTTAGATTAAGACCTCTTAGGTGGTGTTAGAAAATAGATCATCCACGTCTTCAAATAGAAATAACTCGGAGACAGAAATATTTGAGATCATTGAACGTTCTAAATTATCATCATCCTCATATAGTTTATCCTAATAATAATAATAATAATAATAACTATTATTATTATTATCAAATATCACGATAATCGCGCGGAATTGTAAGAATAAAAATACAAAAATGTATATAATCGAAAAAATTATTAAGAGAATTGATTGTTTGTTATTTAATAAACAAGAGTTCAATAAGAGGGAACGTAGAAAAGGCGCAAAGCTCTCCTCCACCTCCTCCTCCTCCTCCTCGTCGTCGTGGTAGTCGTTCTCCTCCTCTCACGGGGTCAATAATCTCTCGCGTAGCTGAGCTGTTCCTCGCGGCTAAGTCGAGTTTGTAGAAAGAGAGTACCGCTACGTGCCGCTACATCCCCGGTGACCCTCGGCGCGCAACATATATCCCCCACCACGAATTTCTAACGCTATCTCTTCCGTCGCACGAACGGAGACTGCTGACTACTCCCCCCCCCCACACCCCTCTTCACTCTTTTCCCTCTTCCCTCACCACTGTTTCTTTACGCGCCGACGAGCGCAGCGAGAGTGCGCGCGTTCCCCTGTACGCCGTCGTCGTAGTCATCGGCGTCGTTTTAGTCGTGGTGGCGCTAAACGTCATGCGGAGACCTCGCGAACTATCGGGGAATCCCACCCGCGGTATTCGGATATTTCTTCCCCTACTACTACTACTTACTACTACTACTACTACTCCGTAAGGACTCACCTGCCGGCGGCGGCGGTGGCGCATGCTCGCGACAGTGGCCGGAGGCTCATTCCGCGAGCGGACTTCAATGCAGCTGGATCGTTCTTCTCTTTTTTTTTTTACAAAATGATTAATTACTTATACTTTTTTAAATAAATTATTTTTCGTTACATTCTATTAAACCCCGATGATATTAACAATTAATTCGATAAATAATATTATACAAATGCAACAAATAATGTCTTTTATCAGTTCCATTTGATTCTTTGGTATATATGTTCAATAAGAAAATAAATAAAAAAAGAATATAAATAAATTCACCCAACTCGTCTCGGTTCTACTTATAGAACATTATTTTTTGTTCGTCTCTCTTTCTCTCTATCTATGATATTGTTTTCTTTTTATCTCTCGGTTTCTTCTCCCTCTCTTCGTGCGATATATCAAACGAAGTCTATCCTTAGTTCGAGGACATTTCTCTCTCTTTCTCTCTCTCGTTAGTCGACGTTACTCTAGGCGCAGGCGTTCGCGTCCCGTCCCGTCCCGACCCGTCCTTCTCTGGTGTTGACCGCTACGCTCGGTTAGTACGTATCGCATCAGTTATATAGGCTATATAGGTCGGCGGTACGCCTCGCGCGGCTGTCGCTGAAAGCAAGTTCAAGGCCAAAGGCTCGGCAAAGGCCACATCGCGTCGGCGGTGTGCCGTGGCGATGGTGGCGGTGACGATGGTAGTGGTGGAGGAGGAGGAGGTGGTGTTGGAGGAGGAGGTGAAGTTGTGGTGGTGGTGGGGCGTCTTTGATGGCTGAATAAGTGGAGGGGCTGTTGAACGCAAGTCGTGGAACATCACTCAGTCGGCGGTGATGCTGTCTCGCGTTTGCACGTGTTGTTCCGTCCCGCACGCGGGTTCTTTGAAGTGATCATCGTCATCACGCATAACTAAAGAAAGCCGGACCGCGCGACGTATTTTGAAAAACGGCGTGCGCCGTCCCGCCAGAAACCAGAACGGCTATTTTATTATTATAATTCGTTAATTTATTTTTTTTTTATTTTCTTTTCTTTCTTTCTTTTCTCGTAAATCTCATCCTATTATATTTCTCGGGGTTCCTCGTCGCGGGAGTGACTTGTCATTAATTCGCTAGTCAGCCTAAGATAATATATATTGTGCGATCGAGGATTTAATTTAAACGTGGAGAGAGATAATAAACAAATCGGTCGACGAACCGATATATTATTACTAGTTATATATATCTATCTCTCTCTCATCAAACACACACCATTGTCAACCTATTTCTCTTCGTTCGACGTTATTGGATTCTTTTTATGTACTTTGTGCTACGCAAGAAAAAGTGTCCATCGTTATTGGAAATTATTTAAAAAAAAAAAAAGAAAAAACAACTGGATTGGATCTTATAACCATAGAAGATCAAGGACAACATTGCGGTTCCTTCCCTTTTTTTTTTTTTTTTCTACACGCGTTTCCTTTTGACCGTCATGGGAGACGAGTTACCTATTCTCAAAGGAATCCTCAATGGAGTGGTCGATTATCATAATGCACGTAGGTTTCCCGATAGATTTTTTTTTACCTCTATTACTTCCTTCTATTTTTGATTTATTTTAATACACTATCGTATATCCTTCGTCAAAAATTCAAACATCGAGGTCGGTTTACTTTCTAACCGAAGATTCGTACCGTGTGTTGCTAACTTTCGTCTCTCGTTCGGTGCGAGAAAGTCGTGCGCTTTCACCCTTCGCGAGAAGCGTGTCTTTTCTTTTCTTGTCTTTTCTTTTTTTTTTTTTTCATTTTATTTATTCTTTCTCTTATTCGTATTCTTCTTCTGCTTCCTCTTATTATTTTTCCTGATCTTTTTCCTCCGGAAGAAACACTGACGAGTAAAAGAACCAACGACGACGTATCTCAACCGATTAGCCGGTGGCGTCACACACGCGACGAACACAGATATATGTTTTACCGTGAAGGAAGGTCAACCGCGTGAATCATTCGATCGATCGATCGCATTGACAGTGCTTATATTAATACTTATTTTTTTTTTCTTTTTCTTTCGTTCCTTCCTTCCTTCCTTCTTTCTTTCTTTCTCTATATCCTAATGTTCTTTTTTTAATTTTTAATTCTTTTTTTTGTATATATATATATTTCAACCCCCTTTAGAAAAATATGAATAATTTCAATCGTGTGTGGTTTTTTTTTTGTTGTTTGAATTACAGCGGTGCGATTCGGCCGCGTGCCCAAACGCGAGAAGGCCAGGATTTTGGCTGCCATGCAGCAGAGTTCCCACAGTCGTTCTCAGGAAAAGGCAGTAGCGGCTGAACTGGAGGACGAACAACGTTTACTCGCCACCGTTGTCCGAGCTCACCTCGACACATGCGATTTTACCAGGGACAAGGTCACGCCTGTTCTTGCGAGAGCTCGTGAAACACCTAACTATACGGCCTGCCCACCGACCTTGGTAAGAATACTTTTAACTACACTATAATAAACCCCCGCGGTACACACCTAGTTACACTTACTAACTTGATCCACGGATTTCGACTAAATATCAAACCTAACAATTCGAGTTCAAATTAAATCGATTCTTTTCTCCCCCTCCATTATTCTTTGGCCAATACCACAGAACACCTTACACAGTTTCCTTGATCGAATCTATGCGGAAATCGGACCGGTCGTCCTCGAAACTTGCAAAGTAGGAGGAGGAGGAGGAAACGTTAACGTTGTAAACGTGTATTGTATACCGTGTTGCTGTTATACTACTCGTTAAGGACAACCGGTCTCTCTCTTTCTTTCTTTCCATCGATAATTTGCTTTCACACATTCATACGCGAGACTATTTTCTATTACCACCACCAAGTCCTCTTCTAACCTCGCACGTTTTCTTTGACTTTCTGTCAACAGGCATGTCCGTTAAATCCAAATCCGCAACCATTGACCGGTCAGCAAGAATTACTTCAGGATTTCTCCAAGAGGTTTTCCCCGGCGATTCGTGGCGTGGTAGAATTCGCTAAACGCATTCCTGGATTCAGCCTGCTGGCACAGGATGACCAGGTCACATTATTAAAGGCCGGAGTATTCGAAGTTTTACTCGTTAGGCTGGCCTGCATGTTCGATGCTCAAACGAATAGCATGATATGCTTGAACGGACAAGTTTTAAAACGCGAGTCCATTCACAACAGCAGTAACGCGAGATTCCTGATGGATTCGATGTTCGATTTTGCCGAAAGGGTCAATTCCTTGCGGTTGTCCGACGCCGAGCTTGGACTTTTCTGTTCGGTCGTTGTCATTGCGGCGGATAGGCCGGGATTACGCAATACCGAATTGGTAGAACGTATGCACAACAAATTACGCAACGCTCTTCAAACGGTACTAGCTCAGAATCATCCACAACATCCGGATATTCTGAGGGAATTGTTGAAAAAGATACCGGATTTGAGAACGTTGAACACGTTGCACTCGGAGAAATTACTGGCATTCAAAATGACCGAACAACAGCAACAATTACAAGCGCAACAGCAACAACAGACGCACCACGTTATATCTGCGAGCCAACAGCAACAACAGCAGCAACAACAACAACAGCAACAGCAGACGCAATCGGGACAACAATCTCAGCAACAATCGCAACAACATTGGGCGATGGAAGACGAAACCCCGGCATCCTGGGGCTCGGCCTCGGACGTTACTCTAGACGAGGCAGTCAAAAGTCCGTTGGGTAGTGTTTCGAGTACGGAAAGCACGTGCAGCGGCGAGGTAGCATCCCTTACGGAATATCATCACGTTGCGGCAACTCCAAGCGGTGGCGGGGGCGGGGGCGGGGGTGGTGTCGGGCATCACGCGTCCAGTGCACCTCTTCTCGCAGCAACCTTGGCCGGTGGTTTATGTCCGCACCGTAGACGAGCGAATTCCGGTAGCACGAGTTCCGGGGAGGACGAGCTTCACCGTGGCAGCTTGAGCAAAACACCTCAACCACCTCACTGTCCGCGTTTTCGCAAATTGGATTCGCCCAGCGACAGCGGGATCGAGTCGGGTACTGAAAAAGCTGACAAACCAGCGAGTAGCAGTGCCAGTAGTGCACCCACCTCGGTTTGTTCGAGTCCACGTTCCGAGGACAAGGAAGTCGAAGACATGCCTGTACTGAAACGCGTCCTACAAGCACCACCACTTTACGACACGAATTCGTTGATGGACGAGGCATACAAACCTCACAAAAAGTTCCGTGCGTTACGGCAAAAGGATAGTGCCGAAGCTGAGCCAGCGGTGGTAGTACAACACGCCCAATCCCAATTACATTTACATTTAACCTCGCCACCAGCGCGGAGTCCATCGAATCAAACGACGACGAATAATAATAATCCAGTTACCTGTCCGCAAACAGCGAGCTTACTTAGTAGCACGCACTCGACATTGGCGAGAAGTTTGATGGAGGGCCCTAGGATGACGGCGGAACAACTCAAGCGTACGGACATTATACATAACTATATAATGCGAGGGGAAGCTAGTCCGAGGTCACCACCGGCGGTCTCGCCATCCCCGGCGGAACAATGTGCCTCGACGACCACCATAACGGCACGCACCTCTTCTCAAGGATCTCAGGGTTTGCTACAGTGTGCCACGTCGAGTTATTCCAGCAGCTCCTCCTCGAGGTGGCCGGCCACCTCGGTTATTACCACGACTACTGGTGCACGGCAACAGCAGCAACAACAACAACAACAACAACAACAACATCAACAACACCAACAACACCAACAACATCAGCACCATCAGCACCATCAACAACAGTCTTCCTCGGATTACCTTATAGTCGGGAATTCTCCGGCATCATCACCAAGATACCTCTCGGCAGCAGCGTCGAGTAGTACGAGCACGAGTCCGAGGCCAACATCATCCAGCAGCACAGCAGCAGCAGCGGCAGCGGCGACTCTTGTCCTATCCGGTTGTCCAAGCAACATGATGGAACTCCAAGTGGACATTGCCGACAGTCAACAACCTTTGAACCTCTCGAAAAAGTCACCGTCCCCATCGCCAAGGCCACTCGTTGGGCCCTGCAAGGCCCTCTCCCTCGAAGCGTAGTGCTCTTGCCCTCAGGTGGACATCTCTTTTATTGGTGACTCGAAGAAAATCATGTGTGTGCGTGTGTACTCTATTGCTACTATTATTACACTACTATTACTACTACTACTACAACTATTATTATTACTATTACACTATTATTATTACTACTACTACTACTACTACTATATACTATTACTACTACTATTACTACTATTACCCACCTTGCGCAAAGAGTGTCGTTACGTACATGTTTTATGTATTTTTAAAAACCCCGTCCATGAGACGGCACACAGAGACGAAGGATCGTCACAAATAAATCTCCAGAGAGATACGATGAATTTTATTTAACGTGGTTTATTATGGAGATGAGAGAAAGATAACAACACAACAACAAAAACAAGAAAAAAAAAAAAAGAAAACACACACAAAAGGGATGACGAAGAGAAGAAGTGATGATGATGATGGGTGGGGGCCCGACGATAGGAGGAAAATATTAATAATAATAATAATAATAAAAAAGGAAGGGGATGACAAAGTGCCAGGGACACTCCGAGCGCGTGACAAAACCAAATAATTTATTAATTTAAATCTATTTTATCGATGTGTTTGTGGGATCCGTGTCTATAATGAACCGACGACAAACGCGGATTTTTTTGGGGAGTAAGAGAGAGAGAGTAGTTGAAGAAGAAGAAGAAGAAGAAGAAGAAGCATCTTCCTGAAATTAAATAATAATTTAAACAAACAAAAAATATATAAGAACGGGAAATGCGGATTAGTTACGGAGAGGAGTTTTTAAAGAAGAAGAAGAAGAAAACAGTTAAGGAAAAGGAGGAGAAGGAAGAGGAAGAAGAGGATGGAACATTTTAAGTGACGATAAGTTGTTATTTATTTTTTTCTTCTTTTCGGTGTGTGCGTTGATACGTGATTGGTATCGTTGTTAAAAAATAATTTGAAAAAGGAACAAAAAAATACGCTCCCGAATTGGCGCGCGCACGCGCGTTATACAATTTGAACGAATTTAACGAACAATATAATACAAATAATTATAATAATAATAATAATAATAATAATAAAAAGAAAATATACAGAATTAAAACGATCGCGTTAGATTTCGCTATCAACGAACACCCACCGTAAAGAAAAAAAATTAAATGAGAGAGAGGGAGAGAGAGAGAGAGGGGGGGAGGGGAGGGCATCGAATGAATGTTTTTTTCGTAATGGTAGGATTGAAAAAAAAAAACAAACTGGATTTAAAACAAAAGATAAAAGATTTAAAAAAAAAGAAAGTGATGAAAGAAGGAATAAAAAATATGAATTAATCTATTACATGTGATAATCATGGAAATCGCGCATCCTGTACAGTCTCCACTTCATTCATATTGATCATCTTACTCTATAATTATAATTACTGATTATTATTAAAGAAAAAGGAGAAGGAGAAGGAGAAGAAGAAGAAGAAGATGAATAATAATAATAATAATAATAATAAATAAAAAATACAACAACAAGTATAATTAAATAATTAATTAA